TTCCTTGGAGAAATCTTAATCTTATTGGTCAGCACTTTTACCAGAAGATCGCATTACATATCTCCATTCCTGAAACTACTTGCGATCATTTTGAATGAAAGGCGAAGATATTCAGACGTTTTCTGCATCCAGTTTGGATTCAAAAAGTCTGTAGAGCGTTTTTTGCTGCTTTTGAAGCAGAGAGTGAAAAAGTATCAGCAAAAAAATAACTGTGCTTTAAGCAGCTCTTAACGAATGGGAAACAGATCGATCTAGTGGACAGAAAACATTCCGCGGCACTTGCAAGATTCAAAGATTGTTTGCCCTGCAAGTTCATTTAGTACACCATTGAAGCAACAACTGAAACACCAATGGATTGGCTCTTTTCATGAGGAAATGTAACACATTGTGGATCATAAAGGAAAGACGATCGAGGTGAGCGATTTCAAATTAAGCTTGTTACAACGAACCAAAAAGAATTATTATAAACTGCCAACCTCGAAACCGTTGGTACAATGGAACTATTCCGCGTTTCGATCATCTCTTATAATTTCTGACAAAAATCGTTTTTTTGTTTTTTGACCTCGGTTATTGTAAAGTCGGCATTTTGACGTGCTAGTTGCACATTAAATCGAGCGACTATGACCAAGTGTTTAACAAGCCAGATCAGACTGTTGCATGCAGTTCAAATTTTGTTTTGTTTATATTTTTACACATTGTAACATGTGATCGTGAAAAATAAAGTAACGTTAAGTTCTTAATTGACTATAATTATTTTCTGTTTTCCTTTATTGAAAGTGAATGTTTGTTGTTTGCATGGCTTTTGCTACTTAAGTGACTAAACGGACTGAACCAGCCGTTAGTGGTTTAACTTTGAAGCTTTTTATGGGGCAAATCGTTCCTTTTTCATGAGTTCAAATATGCCTAAAAAGATAAATTTTCATCTTTAATAGATATGAAGTTATAAAAAATTATGTTCTGATAGTATTATAATCCTAATGTGTAGAAGTTAAACGGCTAGCCTGTCTAAAGTGTAGATTTTGTGAGTGGTAAAAAAACAGCCCTGTTAACTGCCAATTAACAAGTTGTAACATGGTTGTGATGCATAAAACCTGTACCAAGGCTGCTAAAGGAATGCCACAGTGTAAAAACAGCCTTGCTAACTGTGCCAATTCACGAGCTGTGGCAGGGATGTCCACCACAGGGTGGAAACAGGGTTGTAACATGGCTGTTACAGGGTGTCTACTAGGAAATTTTGAGTTAAACGTGACAGGGCTGTTCCAAGGCTGCTACAGTGTAGAAACAGCCTTGCTAACTGTGCCAAATGACGAGCTGTAACAGGGTTGTTACAGGTTAGTTTTACAACCCTGTTCCAGTGATGCTACAGAGCTCTTACAGGGTAGAAATTTTGTTGAGGGAGACCACTAGTTGGATTTTACTAAAGAATAATATCTTACCCTTTGGGTAAGCTGGTTTTCCTACAATGGTAGAGGTGTGCTGCTGAAGCCTTTAAAACTCATATTTTCAATCCTACGCTTGTCTCAACACTGTCAGTGAATTTCAGGATCTTCTCTTTGTTTTTGCATATATCTGAGATCTGCTGCTTGCTGATTTTATACTTGAGTGCTAAATTTGTTCCTTTTTCACTTTTCTCCAAATGTGAAATAATGGTTTGCTTATCCCTTATCGAAATAACAGACTGCTTTCATTGCATAGACATGGCAGTGATTTGAGTTTATGATCGAACCGATGTGGAATCAAGCATGACATTTCCTTAGCAGCATAACAATTGAGCATATTAGAATTCAGCTGAATTCATTCCTTTGTTGCCCTTCATGTCAGTAATTCTAGTGCAGGGCTGCTGCCTAAGGAAATTAGAAGAAAAATTTAGAAGCCCGAGCCGCATTTCTAGGAGCCCAATTAAAAAAGATCAGTAACTTTATTAACTTTTTCTCAGTTTTTACTCATGCAGTAGCGACCTAACGTTTCTAACACCCATGGAAAAGTCATGATTTTATTATTGAAGGTTTTTCAAAGACTATTAAATTATTCATTTGACACCATTTTGAGACAAGAAACTTTAACTGTTCTGCAGTCACAGAAGCAAATTTCAAGACATAAGTGCTGTTTGTTTACCTTTTATCAGCAGTAATATATTTTTGCCTATGGCCGACGATCAAACAATATTTTCCATTGTTGTTTCAAAAGTGCAGAATGAGCAGGGAATTTTGTTGTTTGTTCACTGGAAGTTAGCCTGAGAATCATATGTTTTAGGCGCCTGTTCATATGTTTTAGGCGCCTATGTTTGGTCGCCCAAGGGTAAATGGTAGGCCCCTCTGGCAACCGGGCACTCGTAAGGCAGCAGCCTTGCTAGTGACCCCTCTGTTTTACAAGGCATTCATAAATACAAGGAGAAACTTGATGCTGATCACTCTTATGGCTTAAAGGGTAAATATTCATGAAAATCAGGACCAGCAAAACAAGTGTGTATAATTGAAAAGTCCAGATAATCAACGTTCAACTGTAACGCTGATTAGTTAGGTGTTGTATACAGAATTAGGTAATTTTTTCATACTAATTTCATGGAACCTGCGGCCTTCACACGTACTCTTTTAAAGGCTTCCAGTTCAAAAACACACCATGTTAAAGACACCAAATAGTGGGGAAGACTCAAGACCCTGAAAATCATACCCTTTACAGCGCAACATCCCTGTCCAGACCAAATGAGGGAGTGTCTCCACCCCAGAAGTAGAACCCCCTAGTAAAGTCAATTCTGGCCATGTGAACACCTTGCTTTTATGGACACCTTGATAATAAGGATGTAAAAGCAGTTAAATTTCCATTCAAAATACAAATTATGGACTCTTAACCTGACCAACTGACCTGACATGAGATTAGGTGTCTAAAAAACTCTTATGCAAGTTCCGTTCTTTAAAATGCTACCTTAAATCAAGTTGATTTTTGTCAATTTTTTTCAGTGATTGACAACATTACATCACATATTTGAGATTCTTGGCGAAGTGGAATATAATGGCAACCTGCAAAACAACTCACAGCAATGACTTTTGGATTAGCAACAGAAAGCAACCCTGAAGACAAGGTAAACAACTCTCCTAATTTTCTTAGAGTAAATCAGGCGGGGGGGGGGGGAGCTGACAGCGAGGTCTGGAACCGAGTTTACATGATCGCCCCAGTTAAGAAATTTGGCCGAGTGAGACTGAGTAGCATTTCCTTCAAAACAAATATGGTGGAGAAGGCAGACATGGAGGGACGATGAGTTTTTGCTCAGTTTTTAGTTTTCCTGCATCCAAACATCAAGAAAAGGTTTTCAAGAACATTTTTAATGGAATTTTTGGACATCAGAAGGTGTGATGTATGAACAGTTCATGGGTGACTACACTTACCGTGATTCGGCATCTCGGCAAGTTCAGTTATATATAAGCTTCGTGAATTTTTGAGCAACCAGCCTAGTCTCCATCTCTTATATTTTCCACCTACAGTGGTATTAATAACTCTCTTCCTTATCCGAAACATATGCTACGAGCTCACTATAAATTATTAGTACGAGTCTTGCAACAGTCATATGGGAATGTTCATTAAACCAATTTTCTACTTCACTGGTCGTAAGTTTGTTTGTAAACTGGGAGCTACAACAAATATTTATGATCGAAAATACAGAATACAGGGCCAGTTTAGTAAAAGCCAGGGTAAATTTTCCAGTCACTTTGCTTCACATATAATGGGTCTGTTAGTATAAGCTATTTTTAGTATCAGAAGGCTGGGAGGGTTTTACTGAACCTTCAAAACCTTCACTGGAATATCACTGGAGTGATAATCATTAAATCTCCAACGGCAACAACAACAACTTCGGTTTCAAGTATTTCCTTGAAATTGTTTGTACAAAAATTACCCTGTAGTTCTAAATTTTACTTGAAATGATTATAATGGTTTTTTGTGGGGACAAGAGGCTTATCCAGTTGCCAATAAGAGTGATTACATCAGAGAGGGGTATGCATTGAGAAAATCCCTCAAAGGACTGAAGTACAAGAAACAGAAAAGAGTTTATAAAGAGAATCAGTAGGAGCTTGAAAAATGTACAACTTCAATTGTTTGTGTAAGTTATGAATTTGATTTACAACAAAAACAAACAAGGTAAAATTGATTTTTTTTATCAATCATCAAAAGAAGTTATTGTCCCTTGAGCCCAATCCCAATTATTTGGCCTACAGTGTAGATGGGTATGTGCTGCTGATTAAGGGTGGTGACTATTTCACCCTCTCCAAAAATGGTAACCGTACGCGTCTGCTCAAAATTGAAAACAAACTGATAATCGGTTGTTTTTACAAATAAAGTCGGGAAGAATTCTCGATATTTTGTGGGCATTTTTAATAAAGCAATTATTCCACTCGCGCTTGTTTGGATATGAAATGATTACAGCCAACGCGCACTCGTGGAATAATTGTTAATTAGAGGTGTCCAGTCAGAGCGAATCGCCTGTATATAGGTTTCGTCCTTACTGTTTTAATGTGCGCTGGTGCATGTTTTTGCGTTACAGGAGGTCCAGTTTGCCCCTCTGAGCCCGGGGGGGTACTCGATATATCCTTGGGTGGGGAGGTGCGGCTCGGCCCCTCATACCCTGACCCTGTTTAAGACAAAAATCGCTGATTTTCCTACCCTGTTTAAGACAGAATTCCGATTTTTGATACCCAGTTTAAGACATTCATAGAACATAAGCGCAGGCTGTTTATCGTCTAAGAACAGGGTTATGGGTTCCTGTCTAAGAAAAGATACCCTGTTTAAGACAAAAATTGATGAAATCGATACCCTGTTTAAGACAAAAATCCCGAAAAACATACCCTGGCTGGCTGCACGTCCCCATTAAGTCCTTATAAGGGAGTACCCCCCGGGCCTCTGAGCCACCTCACGAGAGAATGCAGCTACAGAGGCCGTGTAACGTGATGGACGAACCCTGTTGACAATCCAGGATAAGTTCTACTGCGCGGCCATCATAGACAATAAAGACTACAAGTTTTCGCCAAGAGGCAGCTACTTTGCTCCTAAAGAAGGCGACTACGCATCGTACATCGAGTACGGACGCAGCCTTCAACTCATTGCGCATCCTGAGGTATTTGGAATGCACGCCAAATGCAGACATCAGTAATAGCCAACAGGAAACCCAACAGTTGTTCAACAGCATCCTTTTGACGCAGTCTCGAGCTTCCGCCAAAGGTGGAAAATCCGACGACGAGATACTCTTTGGGGTGGCTGAGGATATTTTACACAAGAACTTTGACACGGAAGCGGCACTGCGGAAATACCCCACCACCTATACGCATGGAACGAACACGGTATTAGTGCAGGAAATGATCAGGTTTAACAGGCTAACGAGAAGTCGTGCGATCTTCGCTTATAAACATACTGAAAGCTGTTAAGGTGAGTGAACCTTCAGATAAATTGAATAGCTATTTTCATAGAGTTCTTGTTTGAAGTTTTGACTAAACATGAAGTAGAATCTTTATTCCTTTACAGTCTCTAAGGCAGACCGTGGCCATTGCCACGGGAAGTGTCTGCGCACCTTATAGAGAGTCAGAGAAAATGACTGAAAATGACTTACTCTAGGTGTCCAATGCATAGAGGGTCAAATAAGACGGGGACTAACTCTTGATGTCTGTTTAAAGGTAGTTGACTGTATTACTGGACCCTCTCGAACTTATCGCTGACTGGAAGCCGTAAATACAGTTTCCCCTAAGGTGGAAATAGTACGTCAGGCAATCATTATTTCAAATCATGTTGCGTTCATCTGTGTGCGATATTGGGTGATATGTTGCACATTACACTGTCTAGGAAATCTACCCGCGACATGTTACCGTTTCCTCTTACCCCTCCCTGCCGGGTATATATTTTGCTCCTTTTTCTACAGGGTAGGCGCACTTACATGAAGTAGTTTTCGCTGCGTGTTTAGGAATGGGACTCACTAAGACGGTTTACCCGACCTTTTATATGATCCCAGGGCCTGGTTGTTATGTCCTCTGAACTAGAGGAGGTGGCGGGCGGCATCCTTAAAGGCAAAATCCCTGGTCTGTTGATGGAGAAGTCCTACCCATCTCTTAAAGCGCTCGGCAGTTACGTCAATGATCTGATTGCTCGCCTCAAGTTTCTTCAAGAGTGGTATGACAATGGAGTGCCTCCCATGTTCTTGGTATCTGGGTTTTTCTTCACTCAGGCCTTCTTAACGGGATCAAAGCAGAACTACGCCGGAAAATGCACCATTCCTATTGATCTCCTAACGTTTGTCATTGAGGTTCTTGGCGACAATAATTACGAAACTCCACCCGAGGACGGTGTTTATGTTAATGGCTTGTTCATGGAAGGCTGTCGATGGGATCGAGAAGAGAGAGTGATTAGAGAGTCGCACCCGAAAGCTTTGTATGATAGCATGCCTGTTTTGTGGCTCAAACTTTGCAAGAAGGAAGAGATTGTTGACCGGCCGCGTTATGTCGCCCTTGTTTACAAAACAACCGAGGTACGCTCGAGTGAGGTACGCTTTCTACCACAGGCCAGTCCACTAACTTTGTGATGGACATGCACCTGCTATCTGATCAGCCACAGTCCCATTGGATCATGCGTGGTGTGGCTCTTCTTTGCCAGTTAGATGATTAAGGGAGTGTTACATGCAGTATTAACGTGCACTCAAGAAGTGTGATTTGCAGAATTAACGCACAACTTGTATATAGTCCTCATTCAGTTTATTGAAGTAAGGTTTATATCCTGAATTTAGAACCGACTGATATTGTCTTCTTTATTCAAGCTGGAGTAGCAACAAGTATGGTCTGTACGCTGTAAATACGCTCTTACATACTTAGTATTGACAAGTAGTGAATATAGCGGTTGTAGTAAGGAATGGATTTAACAATACTCCGGGGCGTGGTTTGACCAAGTTGTTAATTTTCCGCCCTCCTTTTACCGCAACATTTTTTTTCAACTTTTTGGTCTGAAGGGATATTCATCGCACGACATCTGCAAAAACACTTTCACTACTATACTACAATGATTATTACGTTCGTTATCATATTCACAATCCCCGTGGCATTCAGAGTCATTGTCAAAGAGGTTCTCAGTCAAGGGTTTTTTCCCTCAAATTTGGAAGAGACACGAAGGTTATTTTACCGACGCCAGTTTGTTTGTTCATCCTTTACGCGGCGATGGCCGGAACCAACGAGATATACGTAACAATCATAGGCGACCTTCCTGTTCTCCTGACGCCAGTTTAAACCGAGAGGCCTGGGTGTCCGGGGTACGAGGATGGATGAAATGTTCAAAGAGAAATAGAAAATAGTCTGTCTCTTTAACTTATCGTTGATTGTAACCTCCCTAGGGTAGTGATCTTACTCTACCCCTATATGCCTTGCAGGTTTAAGATCGTGGATCGTTTCCAGCGCATGCCCAAACCACATTTTGCCCTCGCAAAGGTATGCAACTTTCTGGTCAACCTCGTTCCCAGGGTTCTCTCCTACCTGTCCCTGGGAACGAGGTTGTCCTCAGTCCATTTACGGGTTGCGTCAAGTCAGTGAAATGAGCTATCTATATAATCATTAAAAAAAATCATTTTTATAATGAGGACTGTTTCTGCACTTGGCCTCGTTTTGAAAGTGAGGGTTTTCTGGTTTTTGGAAGTTGTTAAAGGCCTGTTGACAGCCTGAGTATCAGGCGTTTCTGGAGGAAAAAGGGGAAAAGAAAAGCGAAAATCTCCTGTCTCGTGGCCCCTTAGAAAAGCCTGATACTCAGACTAGCCTATTGAAGGACCAGTGTATAAGTGTCATATTTCGCAACTATTATTTTGAATAATGGAACGGTAGTTTAACTCGTCCAGGGCCCGCGCAGGGGGAGGGGCTGGGGGAGCCAGGGCCCCCCACTTTTTGAAAAATAAATAAATAAATAAAATTAAGTACAGTGGAACCTCGATATAACGAAGGGTCAAGGGTGTGGCAAAATCTGTTCGTTATAACGAGGTTCGTTAACTTATATCGAAAATTAAAAACTGCTCCGCGGGCCCTGCCATCTAATCTTTGTACAAATAACCAGCCCTAAAGTTTGAATTTCTATACTTTTAACTCGTACCCAGATCACACTCTGTCCTTGCAAGGATCCGCCTTTCAAAAAAATGGTCAGCAGGTGCGTGAACGCGTCCACCGATCAAGTAGCGCTTGTTGCGTGTTATTCATGTTTGCGTACTACAAAAGCGCCTGTTGGAACGTCTAAGGAAGACTTAAACAACCACCCATATCCCTATTGACCCTTTGTCTCACGTATTAGGGAGGAAGCCATGACGCTGTCGGTTTTTTACCATTATAATGCTTGGACAGTACGAGTCGATCCCATCGCACCTAAGTGTCAGCAGTCCAAGCCAATTCTCCTCCGATCGAGACTTTGTTAGGATATCAGTGACATCGCGGACATAGCGTTTTTGTTTCTTGGAATTCACGGAAAGTCAGGGATTTTTTTCAATTTCGGTTTCATCATACTAGTTAAGAGGCATGGAAGCCTAGTTGAGGTTTAACGTTTGGTTTATGCTGCTTTCAGTTGTCTTTTCACCAGAAACATAACGAGTACATAAATTAAGAGTGCAGGGAAAGTCCTTAACGCACTGAACGCTACAGACTGTGAGGAAGGTATTTTCATTCAGCCAGCTTTTGTCTATGGCTTGCGTTACTTGTTCAGCGACGAGCTCTCAATTCGTTTTCATTGAACGCGAGCTGCAGTGATGTTATTACAGTCCCTCTATTTTTCTCGCTTCCTCCCAAACCGCCCTCTGCCCCCTAAGTAGTTTTGACACTCATGCAAGTTGGCAGCCCGTTACGCAACGCGCTCGATCTCGACGATCTCATACGGAAAAACAGGGGACTGTGAACAGGCTAATGTTAAGTTCGACGTTTGAACCGCGGGCCTCAGAGATAGATTTACTGGTAAGCTCCTGGTAGTGTAGCGTACATATTATGTTACAAACGTAAATCATTCCGTTTTTTTTCTTAAGTTTGTATTGGAGCATGTTAGTCCTTTCCACTTTCTTAGAAAGCAAAACAGTTCCTAAAGTCGTTCCTTTTGCAGGGTTAATACTGGTGCAAACATCAACCACAAAGGACTGCAAAGGACCGCAAACGCATACGCCGAAGAACGTAGGATCTATAAACACCTGATCAGCAAAAATGATAAGTAGACATATTAAATCTGCAAGTAGAATACTGCAATGCTGATCGTAGTACGTAAAAATTCACTCAGCAAGACATCAACACGACAGCGAAAGAACTCAAAACAGGGCGGGATTGTAGCCATAGACAGCTGTTTTCGCCCTTTTGGGGGCTCGTCAGTATGGCGCAACAACCAGAGAAAGCTCTGATTAAATATATCCACGCATTCTGATTTTTAGCCCTGACCTAGCCTGCATAGCATGGCAGTTTTGTCGGGCCGGGCGCACGAGCGGCGAAGCCGCGAAATTCGCGCGCGCCCTCGCCCACCCTTACACAGGGTCCAGAGGAGATGTGTTTGTCGTTAGAACATCAAAACCCGTCGAAAACCTCTGAAAAATGGATTATTTTGATCCCGTTACAGTGTCGTTACACATTCTATAGACTGCAAACCAAGAGACTGAGGGCTCGTAAGCGAGGAGATGGCTTGCGGTTATTGATTTTCAAAATGGCAAACAACAAAGTCGATCTGGGTCAGATAAGAAGGGAAGAAATCATTTACAGTTAGCCTACGTAGCAAGCGTTTCTGTACGGTTTAGGCGAAAAGAACGAGGCACGACACAGGCAGCCCAAGCTCACGTCACGTGAAAGGATTAGATTAATTATTAGCGGTGTGCGAGCCGGGACGTGACTGTTCAACGAAAGCGGTATTGGGTTACATGGCGGCCGTGAATTTATAAAGGATTTGTATGGGAATCCACGTTATAGATTTAGGAAGATAAATACTCGTAGAAATTCTCAATAAAAAACGTCTTACCTTATTTACATGGTGTGTTCTTGCTTGCTGTGTGGTTATTTTCCCGATCCGGTGCGATTTTAGCGATTTTTTTCATTTCTGAGTTTCCACTACTAAAGAGAGAGCAAGGCCGAACACTTCCAATCTGGACAGCCCGCCGAACGAAGCCAAAAATTCCAGGTTAAAATATCCCCACGGCCAAAATTCCACCGCAGAATCCAACTACAAAGGTTAAACTTTCGGCCTTGCTCTCTCTTTTACCTCATGCTAAAATGCTGCTTATTCCAATGACTTTTTTCTGGCTCTGGAGGGTAGATTATACCTCTGAAGAAAACGTTTTGACTGAACAAATGTGATTTTTGCCGCTTATTTCATACGGAGAGGTCATGACACGCATTTTCTGTGGTTATTGTTGTTTCTGGTCGGCATGATTTGCCCTTTGATGCAAGAGCATTTCCTTTTACCTCTTTTGAAATGCAGTGCTCTTCATTGCCGCTAAATAAGGGTTTTAGGTTGTTTAATTTTCTCCAAAGTGCCTCCTGAATCCGAATGATCATAAGCGATTTTCTTTTAGTCCGTGAATGTGACAGTTTCCTACGATGTTTTGTCACGCAATAACTGTAGACCGCTTACCTGGCGTTTCTCATTACCAGGTTTAGATTCCTGGTAACTGTCTTCGGCAAAGCACAACAAATGAATATACATAAAAACGCTAATATAACTATTCACAACACGTTCATGACATGTAAGAAAGTTGCTATTTCGAAATAAACCGAAACCTGTGGACATTGATAAGTTCGGGGACATTTTGACTTGTGTTTATGTTAAATCATGTCTTGTTTCGTAACCGGCACCTAATGCACTTATCAATTGAAACCCCGACCCCCCCCACCCCGGGCCAAGGTGGGGATTTGACTTGACATCATTACAAATCTTAGCAAACTCCCACCCTACTGGGGCATATTGACTGGTAAAACCCCCACCCAGGTGGGGAAACCTTTTTAATTCCCTGACTGACTTTATTAATATTTCGTTCGAATTTTCAACTTCTTAATATTGACAAATTTACTACAGCAAAAAGGCAAATATGATAACAGACCAAGATATAAATACAACAAATATTTGACAATAAGTAAACATAATGACCCCTACCAACTTATAAAAAAGTCAGGGTACAAAGTGGATGATGGAGTAGCACATTGCTATAAAGTTATATTAAAAGGAAATCCGTACCATCTCCATTGAAAGTAATATCTGCAATGATAATTTTAATTGAAAATAGCAGCCAACATACCTTAACCTTCACAAGCTGATGTTATAAATAGACTGCATAAAATAGTTCCTAATAGGAGCTATATTTTTTATTTTGGCTTAAAGAATGAGGAAATATAGAACTTCAGAAACCACATGGGTTTAACACTAGACGTTAAACGAGCTGTGTCATGAAATTTACCAAAATGTAGGCTGTGGGAACTGCCACCAAATTGAGTGAAACATAAAAATAGCCGCTTAAGACATTAAAAGATGGTATAAATGACTCAGCAAATACAAAAAAGAAGGTACAGATGGGAAAACATGAAGAAGATTAAAACGGATTGA